GGAATATAACTTTCCTTTTAATAATTTTTTTTTTTAAAAAAAAGGAAAGAGTAATAGTGTTCAGACATGGTCTTTCTAAACAGAGCATACTGCTAGCCATGCATAGTGTGGTATTGTAACACCTGAAGTTGGAGACCAATGGAGTTATAGAACGGTAAATATGTGACTACATCTGCAGCATCCTGATTGCTTGGAGCAGATTGCTCTTGACTGGGTAATGCCCAGGGAATGTGCATTGGACTGAAGCTGCTTCTAATTTGCTGCCATTTGTTAGCAAGGATTTGCTACACATGGGTTATAAATGTCATTAATCAGTTATACAGCATTAAAACTGGTTTTTATCTGCTCTTCCATGGCAACCCACGACTCTATCTTTCTCTACTTCTGAGTGATTATTATTCCTCAATGTTTACCAAGCTATTAAAAAAATTATTATAAGGGAAAAAATAAAGCAAGAAATATTTTTGAAATAAAATTATGAATAGTATGACAGATCAAATATTTTTGCTACTCTCATTGGTAACAACATAAACATAATTGAAAGAAAATTAGTCTGATCAGCAGGGGATATCTAGTTATGAAAACAGCAGAAATATTGTGTTGTATTAATTCTGTGACTATTAACATGAACAAATTCTGTATAAAATATCAAATAATCTAAAGCCACAATTCAACAAACATAAGTAGGCAAAAAAACTATAAATAATACAATTACAGAAAGAAAAATGGACTATGCTAAGAGTTTTTACCTTGAAGATACTTCCATTTGCTCCTGTAGCCTGAGATTTTAGGCTGTAATGACAAAAGTCAGAAGAAGTAAGGGTATCAGTTCCAAAGGCAACTCCAATTCCCTAAACTTCAAAAGGCTGTCCAAATATCCAGAAATAAGCTCAGCCTGGACTACAGGAGGATTCCTGGCAGTTAGATAAAGTCAGCATTCCTCAGGTATTTGTGAACTACTTCCATCTACCAAAAGGATTCATTTTCCTTACCTCTGGCAGAAGGTACTTACGCTACCAGTGGTGGTTTTCAGCATATTAAAGCTCATACAGGCCTCCAGGTTACCTCAATATCACAAGTACCTGTTACACATTGTAAAGTTCACTGCAGCTTCCTAGTCGTTTACCTCCTCCCCTATCTTATATTACCTCCAAGGACATCACTCCCTTCAGCTACTTGTTCTGCTTATAACCCTGCTGTTCTTTCTACGTGCTCTCTATCTCTGTCTCTGTCTCTTTGTCTCTGTCTCTCTCTGTCTCTGTCTCTCTCTGTCTCTCTGTCTCTCTCTCTCTCTCTCTCTCTCTCTCTCTCTCTGCTCCTCTTACTGTTTCTTCTGTTCTTTCCCCTGCTATTCACCCCTCCCTCGCAGATAGCCCTGGAGAGATCCAGTCTGCTGACCATATTTAGTCTACTTTTTTCTTTCTCTGCTCTCAACTCTTCCAGGTGCCGGTGGCTGTTGTCTATCTCATATTTACAATAAAGGTCTTCCCCTTAACTAAGCCATGGAGAAGTCATGTCATCAGTTTATACAGCAGATCACACTGCTGCAGGAAAGATGGAAAATGACTGAAAAAGAGGGCACTATTGATACAAAATCTAACATTTTACATGCAACTCTCTCAAATCCTTGAACATGGCTTAAAAATCCTCATTCAGGGAGCTAAAGAGATAGCTTAGAAGGGAATTATGCTTGGCGCTCTTGTAGAGGAAATGTGTTTGGTATCCATCACCCACATCAGCAGGCTGACAACTACCTGCAACACTAGTTCCAGAGAATTCAACACCCTCTTCTGACTTCACACAGTATACATAAATGTGTATTGAAACACAGACACATGCAAAAAATGAATAAAATCTAAAAATGAAAAGCAGCATGCAGAGAAAAGATTTAATAAACCTTGAAGCAAACAAGAGTTAGGAGGCAGGACTTTTAGAATATTCCTGATGCTAGGAAGGAATAGATTTTAAAGTATTGATAAGCTCAATCAACACTGTGCAGAGTCCATCCCCTTATTGTCTCACAAGTCAACCCAGAACTAAAACTTATTTACTTAATGGCTGAGTAAAGTCAGAAGACTCATTCATTATAAAGAAGACCCTGCAAAATCAAAGAAATCTATGATCCTTTAAATGTCTCTCTGCCACATAAAAATCTATGTATTTGGAAGAAAATTGGCTCCAAAGGGTCCACAAAATGTTATCCACAGTTCCCTGTACACAATTAAATTGCTACACACACAAACCATTAACAATCAAAGATAATAGAGGAAATGAAGGATAACCCAGTTGTTGAATTTAGCAATTATAAATACATTTTAATGTTTATAGGATGACAAAAAATCAACTTGAGAGAAAGACATAATCAAAAAAATTCAAATGACTACTATAGAATTAAAAAAATACATTAGGGATGAGATATTGCTCAGCTGTAAAAAGCTTGTGGATCATGCATAAGGTCCTTGGTCAGCCCCCAATATAGGAAAGAAAGACAGTGATGTAGAGATTGGGAAAGGAAAGGAAAGAGGAAAGAAGGAGGGAATTAGGGGGAAGAGGAAGGAGAGCATTTAGCAAATATTGGCCACATAAATAGGAAGGCTTAGTAACCGTTTTCAAGAGAAGTTGTTAGAAACTCAATACAGAAGATGAAGCCTAAAACAATAAGTAAGCAGAATCAGAGGCATACCTTCTTAACATTTTATGCAACTCAATTTATTGGAAAATTTCAGCCATTTTAGGATGTTAAATCTTATGTCAATAAATTACCCCACATTCTGTTATACTAAAGCCCATTTATTGCTCAGTCTTAAACTGAGAAATGAATTTTTTATTCAAGCATCATTGTATAATGATATATAGGTCTTTTTTGTTTGGTTGTTTTTGCTTTTTGTTCGTGTGTTTGTTTTTTCAAAACATTGGCTCCTTAAATGGTACAGTTGACACACTGCATCATGTAATAGGAAAAGCCACAAATATTACTGTTATCATCAATCTTCTCAGGTACATCTTTAAATACTGGAAAGCTGGTAGAAGTTTTTTGAGCTTTAAAGTTTTATTTAAAAGATGAATTTTGTCACTGATAACATACTCATTTTTTTCTGAAGTGGTAAACACTTAACTTTTGAAAGATTTGTAATAATTCCTCACTGTGAATAAACATAACCAGCTACACAATGGAAAAAACAATGTTCCTTTTAAAAAAGCAACCATGTCACTCATAATTAAAGTAAGTTTTGTCAAAATAACCATCTTACTTCAGAATGTGTCAGTATCATGTGTATTTCCCATCAGGTCACAGAGAATATCAAAATTGAATGTCCTTGGGATTTTCAACTTAGTTAAATTATCCACATTTGTTCATTCATCCAGGACACTCATGAATTTTGCTCTATGTGTTTTTCCTTGTTTCCTCCATTTGTTCCACTGTGAAAACAATGACATCCTTTGTGGTTTATTGTAACTGGTATATAAGTGTTTAGCTATCAGCAGGTTTATTTTTATCAAAAACTGCTTTTGCTGTATCCCAGTAGATGTCAATGTGAAAGAAAAGTCAAATGATTCCTAATATTAATATAAAAGCGCTTCTAATTTTTCTGAACCTTCAAAGGTTCGCAGAGACCCTGGTGTCACCCATTCCCCCACTTGCCTAAGCTGGATATGTGAAGCAGATGGATCCATTACAGTTACATGGAAAACACTCTAAGCACTTTGGAAAACACTGTGGTGACTGCATGGACTTCAGACGCCTGCCCACCCCAGGAAGAAATTCCACTGCACGATATACTAAGGAGAAAATATGCCATATAGCTTGTAGCACGGATCTTTAAAAGGTCTTATTAATAAAAAACTTGGACACAGGTATTTGGGTAAATGCTGAAAGATCAGAAAAACAGAACTAGCCACAGCCACCTCACCTTGCCAATTCTTCAGCTGATCCTGCTTCCTCAGAATGGAAGCCTTTCAGTCCTCATCCAAAAGGATCTCAGCTGAACTGCTGCTCAAAAGCTAAAAGCTTAACCAGGCTCTAGTTCCTGGTCCTCACACCTTAAATACCTTTCTGCTTTCTGCCATCACTTCCTGGGATTAAAAGTATGAGTCACTAGGCCTGGCTGTTTCCAGTGTGGCTTTGAACTCATAGAGATCCGGATGGATCTCTGCTTTCGGAATGCTAGGATTAAAGGTGTGTGTGCCACCATTTTCTGGCCTCTGTATCTAGGTGGCTGTTCTGTTCTCTGACCCCAGGTGAGTTTATTAGGGTGCACAATATTTTGGGGAGCACAATATCACCACAATAGCTGGCAAAAGTTTGCTTAAAGATAGTCACACATTTAATTTGTATAATAAGAAGAAAGGGTACTTAAATGTGCATCAGGTAAACAATGGGATTTTGTTGATAACACATCGGCTCATTCAGTGCAATACTCTTGAAACTTAATAAGTGATATATGGATACAATCAACAATGCAGACACTCCTTGAAAACAAGAATGTGGATAAAATAACTACAATATAACATAATACAATGTTTGGTATGTTACATTTAGATGAAGTTAACTAGGAAGGACATGACAGATAATTTCTTTTACAGTATTTCAGAAAAAAGTCACCTATATTAGAAGAAAAACTAATAAAACATAGTGTAGTGGCCTGTGATATGGCTCAGTGGATAAAGGTGAATAATATGTAGGCCAAGTGACCTCAGTTCAATCCCTTGCACCCACCTAAGGTAGGAATGGAACATGAGCAATTGGGTTAAGGGAGGCACTGAGGGAGACTACTGGGGGTGGCATCTCAGGATCTGATAGAAGCCTGTTCGGAGGGCATCTCCCAGGATTCAGTGGGGGAGAACCCCAGCTTAGACTCCTAGCAATAGCAATTAAGTGGCCTGAACTGGCCATCTCCTGTGACCAGATTGATGTACCTGGCCCAATAGTCATCAGAGAGGCTCTATCCAGCTACTGATGGAATCAGATGCAGAGACCCACAGCCAAACACTGTGGTGGAGTGCTTGCTTCGGCAGCACATATACTCAAATTGGAACAATACAGAGAAGATTAGCATGGCTCCTGCATAAGGATGGCATTCAAATTAGTGAAGCATTTCATATTTTTCAGGAGTCCAGTCAACGAGAGAGAGGAGGGATTATATGAGCAAGAGATATCCAGACCATAATTGAAAAAAGTACAGAGACAACTAGCCAAACTAGTGGAAACATGTGAACTGTGAACCACTAGCTGAGGAGCCCCATAGTACTACTAGACTAGGCCCTCTGAATAAGTGAGACAGTTGATTAGCATGAACTCTTTAGGAGGCTCCCAGGCAGTGAGAATGGGACCTGTCCTTAGTGCATAAGCCGGCTTTTTGGAACCTAGTGCCTATGCTGAGACACTTTCCTCAGCCTTGGTGCAGGCTCTGCTGACTCCCTAGGGGAGACCTTGCCTTGGAGAAGGAGGGAATGGGGGAGTAGGTGTGGGGGGAAGGCTAGGGGTGGGAGGAGGGAGGACAGGGGAATCCGTGGTTGATATGTAAAACGAATAGAAAAACTCTTAATAAAAAACAAAACAAAAACCACTGTGGTAGAGTTTGGGTACTCTTGAAAAGGAGGAGGAGAAGGAGGAGGAGAAAGGAGTGTAGGACCCAGAGGGGTCAAGGACACCACAGGAAGACTCACACAATCAACTAACTTGGGCTCATAGGGACTTGCAGTAACTGAATAGACAATCAGATAGCCTGAATGGGACTGACTTAGGCACTCTGCATATATGTTACAGTAGTGTAGCTCCATCCTCTTGTAGGAGTTCTAACAGCAGGAAAAGGGGTTGTCTTGCACACTTTTAATGGCTTTTGGGACCCTAATCCTGTAGCACAAATTTTAAAAGGTCTTAATAAAATCAAACCTGAATCCAAGTATTGGGGTGAATGCTGGAAGATCAGAGAAGCAGAACAAGCTACAAACACCTCACCTTGCCAGTTCCTCAGCTGATCTTGTTTCCTCAGACTGGAAACCTCTGTGTCCTCATCCCAATTGATCTCAGTGAACTGCTGCTCAAAAGCCTATAAGCTTAACCAGACTCTTGTTTCTGGTTTTTATACCTTATATACCTTTCTGCTTCTGGTCATCACTTCCTGGGATTAAAGGTGTGTGTCACCATGCCTGGCTGTTTCCAGTGTGGCTTTGAACTCACAGAGATCCTCATGGATCTCTGCCTCCAGAATGCTAGGATGAAAAGTGTGTGTGCCACCATTTTTTGGCCTCTATGTCTTTCTAGTGTCTGTTCTGTTCTCTGATCCCAGATAAGTTTATTAAGGTGCACAATATGTTGGGGGACACAATATCACCATATAATTCTCATACTGGGTCGCCTTGCCCAGCCTTAATACATGGAGAGGTGCTTCGTCTTACTTCAACTTGATATACTGTGTTTTTATTGATACTCCTGGGAGACCTGTCCTTTCCTGAATGGAAACAGACAAGGAGGTTGGGGGTTGGGAGTGAGGAGGATAAAGGGGAATGGCAGAGGAGGATTTCGGGGGAGGCTGTGGCCAGGATGTAAAGTAAACAGATGAAAATGAATAAATAAATAAATAAATAAATAAATAAATAAATAAATAAATAAATAAATAAATAAATAAATAAATAAATAAATAAATGAATAGTGAAAGTGAGAAGCAGTTCCACCAAGTCTCCACACATGTGCTGTGAGACACAAGTCTCCCATCCAAATAAACACACAGAAAATAATGAAGTGTTTTAAGGATTGTTATGATCTCTCATGATTGTTTGTGAATAAATTATATTTTATTATGAAAGCTGTGTTTCTTTTTGAGTGATAACTGCATATTTATCACACACTATTAGTATAACATTAAAGATTATTATCATTAAGCTGTAGCTGTATTGGATATGCATCTATGATCTGTTAGGTGAGTGGCATGGTGTGGTACTATGAGATAACTGAGTAGAGTGTAATAGTTCCTAAGAACTTATTAATCTTTGTTTATTAATCACGTTTAATATTTTGGAGGGGACATTGGAAAAGGAAATGATTCCTTTCACTTTCAGAATTCTATTTCCCCTTGATGCCTGATATCTGGTTGATTTTTATAACTTACTTTTTAATAACTTCCAGTTAAAATTATGTTTTAAAGTATATATAGTATGCATACATACTGTATATAGGTATGCATATATTGTAATATCCTGATAAGAGCAGCCATTTTTTGCCCTCAATTCTTTGTGGTGAGAACCTAAAATTCTTCCTTGCATTTTGAAACATAAAACACATTAGTATATCT